GGACACCAGAAAGTGGTAATAACAGGTTGAAAAAAGTCTACAAGAATGTGGTTTTGTGCCTTGCCCTCTGTAAACACTTTCCAGATGAGTTTATGGACTCAGCCACTCACCTTTAGTCAGATAATAACTAGTCGAGTCTTTTTTGGAAGTCTTGCTCATACTATTTTTTAAAAATACTGGCAGCTGCCAGTGCCACCAGACTCCTAGTATAGACACCTATCTTATCAATCATAGTTGACATCTTTCTCGTGTTATCGTGTTGACAAGATTTTCAGAAAAAGTATCATCTGAAACCTAAGAGACCTCAAGGTGAATGAGGTCTGAAGTAAGATTTTTCAAATCAAATTAAAATTTTTCAAATCTTACTTCAACTTATTCTTGAGTTATCTTGTTCATAAAGTTGGGTGTCTGAGCCGCACACCCACTTGCCCCACAGGTAGACAATACCTCATTCAGCTGAGGGGTAAAAACAGTGCATGCTCACTGGCTAACAGCTTATTATGATTAGCTAATAAGCCTTAGAAATTGCAAGCTAACAGCACTTCAGATTACAGCCCAGATAAATGCCACACAGAGTTCCAGTAGCAGACACATCTCTACATCAACTGTTTAGAGGAGACTGCGCGAATCGGGCCTTTATTGTCAAAGAATAGGTAAAAAACACCAAGGAGAAGAGATTTGCTTGGGAAAAGAAAGACTGAATGGACATTAGATCAGTAGAAATCTGCGCTTTGGGCTGATGAGTCCAAATTTGAGATCTTTGGTTCCACCTTACAATAGGAGATAGGATAAATGGTCACTTGAAGCTGGTTATTCACTAGCCATCCTGGTCTAGGTTTGAGCATGCTCACATGAAAGGGGTGCCATTGGCAACATCTGGTCATTTACACTGATGGCTTACATTTTATGGTCAGTAAAACTGGAAAAGAGCTACTACAGTGGTGTGAGGAAGTGTTTGCCTGCCTCCTGATTTCCCATTTTTTTGTATGTTGGTCACACTTAAATGTTACAGATCAAACAAATTTAAATATAAGATAAAGATAACACAAGTAAACACAAAATACAGGTTATAAATGAAGGTGTTCATTATGGGGGGGAGGGGGGGGGGGTCCAAACCTACAGGTCTGTAAAACAGGTTTGTTTTACAAACCTGATAACCTTTAGCAGCAACAATTGCAATCAAGCATATGCAATAACTGGCAATGAGTCTTTTACAGCTCTGTGGAGGAATTTTGGCCAACTCATCTTTCCAGAATTGTTGTAATTTAGCCACATTAGAGGGTTTTCAAACATGAACCACCTTTTTCAGGTCATGCCACAGCATCTCAATTGGGTTCAGGTCAGGACTTTGACTAGGCCACTTCAAAGACTTCATTTTGTTTTTCTTTTGCACTTCAGCTACAGGTCATGAACAGATGGGCAGACATTCTCCTTCAGGATGTCTTGGTAGACAGCAGAATTCAAAGTTCCATTTGCCACAGCAAGTCCTTCAGGTCATGAGGTACCAAAACAACCCCAGTAGGGGGGATTACTCCGGGCATTACTCCAGACAGGCTGATGGCCTCTGTGCACGTCTGGGTGAGCCATGCAGGAAGGTAAGGTAGGTACCATTATGAGTTTTTGGGTCTTCTGAGTTTTCGCTAGCTCGTTGTTTTATGCCTCTGTATTCTGTCTTATTATTTAGCCTATTGGTTACTGTTGCCTGCGACAGACTGGTGACCTGTCCAGGGTGTACACCGCCTCTCGCCCTATGACAGCTGGGATAGGCTCCAGTGCCCCCTGCGACCCTGAAAAGGACAAGCGGAAGCATAGTACACAGGAACATCTGTGCCCAGTATAACCTGGAAGTCCCAAGGTCAAAATGGGAGCCGCCCCCAAGGGTGGTGGAGAATGACCGAGCTAAGATCCTGTGGGACTTCCAGATACAGATGGACAAAATGGTGGTGGCTAACCAACCGGACATAGTGGTAGTAGACAAACAGAAGAAGACGGCCGTAGTGATACATGTAGCGGTTTCCAATGACAGCAACATCAGAAAGAAGGAACACGAGAAGCTCGAGAAATACCAAGGGCTCAGAGAAGAGCTTGAGAAAATGTGGAGGGTGAAGGTAACATTGGTCCCAGTGGTAATCAAAACACTAGGTGCGGTGACTCCCAAACTAGCCGTGTGGCTCCAGCAGATCCCAGGAACAACATCGGAGATTTCTGTCCAGCAGAGCGCAGTCCTAGGAACAGCTCCCAGGCCTCTGGTAGAGGACCCGAGCTTGAAGGATAAACTGCCCGCAGGGGCAAGAGGGGATTTTTTTTTTTGTATGTATGTTGTCTGAGTTCTCCCTTGCCCTTTTAAATGATCTGTTCCCGACCAGAACCGTGTTTTGTTTTGTAAGTGCAAAGTAATAAAGCTGCTTTTGAGTTTTTATGTCCCATCTTCTGACTCATCCTCCCGCCTGCCACACAGCATCCTTGAAAAAAATAACATCAAAAATCAACATGCTTTCTCAACATCTGAGAGCCTGTTTTAGTGCCAGTGTTGAGAAAGCACTGCACATCTCTCCTAGGCACAATAGACCCTAAATACTTCCTGAGAGAATCTCAGCTCATGAAGAAGCTTTGGCACCCCAGGCTGGTCCAGTTGTCTGCAGCAGGGAGAACCCGTCTACATCATCACAGAACTCATGACAAATGGTAGCCTTCTGGAATATCTTCAAAGTAAGACAGCAACACTATTTATTTTCCACATTTGACCCTGTCATAAAGCAGAAGCAGCTCAAAATCACTTGAACATTGCTGCTGCTGTTCTTTGAAAACAGTTTCACCACCTGTGACAGGCCGAGGTACAGAGACCCTCATCAAAGCAAAGAAACTCATTTAATTCTAAACATCATCTGCAACAACACATTAGTATAAATTATACTTTTATCTGGTTTCTGTTAAGAGGGTGAGTTTAAATCAGACATTTTTGACCTCTGAGATCAAATGTGGGAAGAAAAAAACTGAGGTGAAAAAGATGTAAGATTTTGTTCTGTAAGGAGTAGTTGCTTGATATATTTTAGTCTGTTAATTTGATGACATTCTGTAGAAATCTAATGAACTTTAAAGTCAATATTTGGTATGATCCTAGAATTTTTTTTTTTTTTTTTTGTAATTTCTTTAATTAGTCTTCTGAAATATTTCTCCATCTAGAATAGTTATCCATCATATATACACCGTTTTATCCTGTTTTTATCCATTATATCATTGTGAAATGCACTATACACAGGTACACACACACACAGGTCTTTATCACTATAAAAAGGGAAGGAAACCATTATCAGTCCAAATCGCCATCAGCTGTTCTCACCGGCATCTCCAGCACCGCCCCGTTAAGCCCACTGCACCACTCCTCCCCTGCAGACGCGCCCGGGACCACACCTCCGCCACAATCATATGGATACAAACTGCAGTCACATCTGCTCTTTCATTATTTTCACATGATACTTCATTCAGCAGCTATACTTATGTTTCTGCATTAATGCTCTCCACAGGCGCCATATAATTAGTGGGGATGTATCCTTGTTTGGAGGCCGAAACCCCAGTGAGGGCTTTAGCGAACCACCAATCACCGGCACTTTAAAATATCTCTAAAATATCCCTAATGTTGAAGCTAAGGTCTAAACATACACAGCAACATAATTTTTGGAATCATTTTCACACTGACAAATTAAGCTGATGGCAATTAGCTGATACTGTTTCATTGTTCAAAGTCTGACAGTACTTGTCCGTGTTCATAATTCAACAAATTCTGATAAGATGTTCAACACCACAGCCTGAAAGTAGTTCTAAAGACAATCACTCCCACCTCTCTCCTCATTTCTATACACACTGATAGCACTTTGAATGAAAAAGATCCTCATTTGGATTCTTCATGGTGTAAGACCTGGCTAGTCATCACTTGTATCTGGTCAGGAATGGCAAATATAACATAGAAAACACTTGACATATTAACACATTTGACATAAAAGATCTCAGTAAAGAAGGAGTTGTAGATTTACACAAACTGGGGAGGTCTCTTGGAACCATTTAAAAACTACAGATTCCAAGATATCATTTTACACAGTTCCATGGAAGTACACGTATTCAGATGTATGACCACTTTGCCAAGACCCCTGCAAGAATGGTAAATGGTAAATGGCCTGTATTTATATAGCGCTTTACTAGTCCCTAAGGACCCCAAAGCGCTTTACATATCCAGTCATCCACCCATTCACACACACATTTACAGACACAAACTGTCAGCATCCGATGAGAAGAAACTTATTGGGATGTTCAGGAATAATCCAGGAACCACCAGGGCTCAAGCTTGCCATGAACTGTTAGAAAATATTAATAGAGTTTTACATTGCCATGACTGAGACGGTGACAACCAAAAAGAAAGCCTCTGATTCAGAACTAACACCTTCAGTCTTGACTGAAATTTGAAGCTGCACACAAGTCAAGTCTGCTTCTGGAGGAAAAAAAATGTGGTTAGAGGGGACAAACCACCTGTCATTGTAGCACTACCAGGCTACAATGACAGGTATGTTTTGAGGAGTAAAGATAAGTAAGATATGGTTTAAAGATAAGGTTTTCAAGCCTGATGACTGTATGAGGACTGCATGCAAAGTGGAGAACACAACTATACCTATATAAAGATAAACCTTTCCATGATGACAGTTCTAAGCATTTATATGCTAATTGTCACATTAAGGAGAAATAATGAGCATATTTATTTCTATTCACTGTAAAATCAATACATTTATCTGCTCAGTTAGTGATAAAATAACAATGTAAAAAGCCTCAGCTGGCCATGAAACTGCCAGTCAATTATCCAATTACATTTGAGCCTCTAAAAATGGAAAATTATGTATAAAAAATATTCCTAAAAGTGTCATGAATCAGAATTCTCCCACATTCATAACGCGTGACTAACCCGACTATAAGCGCAGGCGTGACGTCACCCCAGTGGAGAGTGAGCGCGAGCCGCTCCCCATTCCTGAGCAGGTGCAGGTGATTGCTACCTGAACAGTGAGACCGATCCTCTAACACGAAGATCCACACTTAAACTACCGCTCCCTTCCCCTCACACCGATCTGTGATAGCTGGGCGTGTGTTCAGGTCAAAGACCGCCACCATCCCAAACTGGGGAAAATAAATGCGCTTGTATTTAATGGGATGTGGATCATAAAGACAGGAGGACGGATTCTCTAAACGATTTCCTTGTTTATTCCTGACAAAAACAATGACCGACTGTGATTGACGAAAGTACCATGGAGATCCAAAAGAGGTTTTCTGCCTGTTGGGACAGTTTTTTGGGGTGTTTTAAAAAAAATGGCCCCTCTGGAGACGAGACCGACCGTGGGGAAAAATCGACGGTTATTAAAAACTTGAGCGCTGCTGACAAAGACGAACAGAGCTTTCATTCAACAAGAGATTTACCGCCGCTGCCACCAGCTGATGTGGAGTATTATGTCGCCCTGTATGATTACTCTGCTCGCACAGAAGAGGATCTTAGCTTCAACACGGGGGATACTTTAGAGGCCCTGGACAAAAGTGCCGGTGATTGGTGGTTCGCTAAAGCCCTCACCGGGGTGTCAGCCTCCAAACAGGGATACATCCCTGCTAACTATGTGGCGCCTGTGGAGAGCATTAATGCCGAACCGTAAGTATAGCTTTTGTATGAAGGATCATGTGAAGTCTTCTTTATATAATTTATCAAACTTAACCATTAAAAAAATGTGTTTTATTTGAATCCCAAGCTGAAGGTTTTTATTTTATTTTATTTAGTTTGTTTTTTGAGGGGGGGAGCCATTTTTGTTTTGTTTGGGAATGGAAGAACAACTTGAAAAACGAGTTAACTTTTTTTTTTTGTTATCAATTACAGGTCAAAGTAAATGCACATATTTTTTTTGAGAGTTTAAAATAATCTAGAGGGGGAAATAGGCAATAATACTACAAAATAGATGTTTATTTCCTTTCCAAGGAAAGTCAAGTCAAATTGTATCCGCACAGTCATATTCTTCTACTTACAGAAGGGTTACATACAGCAGGGATTTTCATCATAGAGTAATCCTCTCATATCAGTTGTGTCAAAAATGACAACAAAAAGTGAAACTTTCTCTTTAATCTAACACTTAAAATGTTTGTATATAGATATAGATATATAGATATGGATATAGATATATATATATTTCTTTTTTAAAAATGTATTTATTAATGCTAAATAACTGCAACAAATGGTCATCGACAGTCATCAACGGAATAGGTTTGTATGAGGAGGAAGCTAATCTTAAATTACTTTGTCATTTAAATTTCCTTGAAGGGATTTCTTCCAATGAAACATGTATTAACTTAACTGGTAGTAACAACTAAAAAGAACATACTTCCTGAAGCTGAATGGTAAATACAGTGTTGTAAAGGCGATGTCGTTAGAGTTCACTCTCAATTCTAAAGTGACAGAATGTAGAAGATGCAGAAGTACCTCAAAAACCTCAAAATTCTTTTGAAGTACTTGAGCCTGTGATTTAAGTGTTTTACTGTTCTATTTCTGCCTGAGATTGACGTTTTTAAAACATTTGAATAGTCAGTCATGTCCCACGGGTAAAAGGCTGTAAAATGTAACTGCGTGTTTTCCTTATCCCTAAAGTCTTTGCCGAAACTAGTTAATCATTCACCTTGAGACCAGGAAATGCTGGGAAAGCTTTACAGGTTAATGATTCCTGTTGAAGGTGGAGATCATAAACAAGAACCAGAACCACACATTAAAGCCACATTGCTGGCATTTCATGCCATTTAACTCTAGTGTTGAGAATAAAGACAGGATTGGTTTGTCATAAATTCAGCTTCAGGTATCCTGTGTAGGGCACGGTACTATAGAGCAACCAATCCTGGAATGTGTACCTTTTTCTTTGCTGCCATGTGTAGCTTAGTTGTTGGAAAAAAGATGACGTCACACAAATTCCTAACTAATAATGGAAGGGTTTTTTTTTTTTTTTTTTACAAGAATAAACCCAGTTCAAGAGGTAATCAGTCTTGGCATTATTTGTGTCATAGTTTGTCCAGTTGCAAACCTAATAGATAGGCAGACCTGTTCCATAATGCAATTACACAATGAATTATCCAGTCTGCCACATTGTGTACCTGCAGGAAAGCCGTTATCTGTAAATAACTAATGGAAAACTAAAAGTCAGGCCTCGTTAGTTCAGAACAAGTCGACAAAACTTGTAGTGTGTAATTTAATTGTCAGTTTAATCAAATCTAGATTAACCACATAAAATAATCTGGCTCAAATGTAACGTGGACTGGTAGAGAGCCTCGACTATAAGCAGTGATTAAGAAGAGGTGGTTGTTCTAATAGTAGAAATCAAGTTTTACACAGCAGAATCTACTACCAGTACTTTAGTAAAAATGGAAACATACAGCACTCTGAACATTATATTCAGGATATAGTGCCAGTTTAGATCAGTCATCTGAAGGTTCTTTCTAAAGACTCCGCAATTTTAGAGAGAGAATCCTATCGATGAGATGATCAGCTCTTTTGTTTTAATAATGGAAAACGGTGTCACAGCTCAATCAGTCAGTTTTATGACTCAATATTCCCGCAGGTACATTTGTTCCATTATAGACAGTGTAGTTCATGATTATGATTTGAAATCCTTTGAATTCTACATCTGGCACTATGTGGCTCTCTTTGAATTTGTTGTTGATTAATCTCACTCTAATTCTCGACAGAGATACTGTATATGTCTGAAGTGTGTGAATACTGGAAAATAACCCTCAGTTTTAACTTGATTTTGAGCATTACAAAGGGAAAGCACCCAGATGAGCCAGTTAAGACTCAAAGAGGAAAACTTATTGTGTTTTTGCACTGATGCAAACGTACAATTAATTTAAGCTGCAACTGTGCAGTGACATCATTGTTTTTCTTGGTTTACTCTGCCCATAATGGGAATCCCCGTGTTGTTAATTTTGTACTCTGACAGGTTAAACAAAGTCATAATGTTGTGTAACTATCTAGTTGAAGTATATTTGCCAAAGGAAAAAAAGTTTTTTTGTCAAAATAACTTTTCAAAATGTCAGACCATTCAAATACAGATTTGACTTTTTTTACTCTTTCAATTAGATTTTTAAAGTCCAAGTGAGCATAAATATCATAGCTTGGTTATAGAAGGGCTACGGTCATTGAAGGACACACACGCAGACACAAAGTGAGCCCAAGGTGTAGTGGTTAATATGATTCCTGATACTGGTAGATTGCCCATAAGATTTTACTTAATTTACATGTAAAACATTGACTTCTGTCTGTGACCGTTATTTATCTGCTCGGTGTTGGAAAACTTGCAAAGAGTTGACTCTAAAATTTGTCTTGTGATGATTTCTTGGTTTCCTTGGGAAATAAATAACATTAAAACCCAAATAAAATGACAGAAGATATATCTGTGTCAGCAGTTTTTATTTTAAGCATTGACAGTCCAGAAACATGTCTTCCCTGCAACATTGCTAATATGGACATATCCTGCTTCCATTCTGATGTCCAGATGGTATTTCCCTGACACCAAGAGGCTGGATGCTGAGAAGATGCTGATGGCTGGAGGGAACAAGCATGGAGCCTTTCTCGTCAGAAACTGTGAAAGTCAGAAAGGAGACCTCTCACTGTCAGGTAACCTCTCACTTGACTTCATCTCTTTTGAAGTCAATGTCATCAAATAAATTTTATAGCTTTTTTGCTTGTGAAAATTAAAGTAGTATAGCCATGATTTTCCCTTCTTTCAAAATGAGTGAGCAACACAATGCACCCATGCTAATAGTTCTGTGACTCCATAAATTCTGTTCAGTTATTTTTTTCACACATGGCCAGGCAGGTTTAAATAGCTTTTCTCGCCTCAATAAATAACATCATCATTTGTGTTTACTCGGGATACCTTTGTCTAATATTAGTTTGATGATGAATGTGACAAATATGCAAAAATAAGACATCGAGAGGGGGGGGGGGGGGTTTAGTAGCACTTGTGTAATGTCCTACACAAACTCACTTGAAAAATGGGCTTTTAAACTGTTTTAGTCCATTCTGTGGTATGTGTCTCCAAAACCAAACCTTGTGAAATATCTGCCTATTCTTCCATTCCCCGCTCCTCTAACTGGATAAATGACCAGAAGTGTAAAGTTGTTTCCTCTGAAAGTTGGCTAATAAAATTAAATGGGTTACATCCTAAACAGCCCTGCATATTCAGTCATGCCTTGGTTTAAGTCTCTTTTTGGCCAGAGTTTGAGAGACTTTGTTCTAAATCCCTTCTAAGTTCTTGCTAGAAATTCTTAGTTTGGAACTGTCGTAACTGATTTTTAGAGTGTTTGTGAATATGGGACCCGGCAGGTCCTATAAATGAAAATGCTTCAGAATGAAATCAGCTAAAGTAATGTGATATTGTAAAAAGATATTCTTTCTTAGCGATAAAATTTGAATTACTAACCAATAAAACACACTTACTAGCTGCTCACTTTAGTCCACTCAGGGGTTTTCTTGCTACAGTCTTACTTGGTCTGGTAGGAACTGTGACTAGTGACAGCAATCAGCTGTTTGACTTTATTACTTCTTTAACCATAATGCTGTCACATGCATTTTAGGAAGTTCACTTGTGTTTGCTTTTACTGTGGCTTTTTGACTTGTAAAAGTCTTGTGAACCTGTTTAAACATTTATGGGATGCCACAGTGTTTTATTTTAAATGTAGACCGTAAAATATTAAAACAAGACAAAATAAAACCAGAGACCTTATGCGAGAGAATATTTCAAAAAGACGTTGACACTGTTACTAAAAGTTGGTCAGCTCTCACATAGTTAACATTTTGTTGTTCCCATACTATTGGATGCACACTTTCCCTGACACTGCAGCATTGTTTAGTGACTAATGGTTTAAAGGTCAGAAAGTTTAATCGAGGTCTCCACTGCCATAAAAAATAGTAGGATCACTTTATCTCTTTGAGCTCTTATCTGTATTGTTTTCCACTCTGTCCTTGCTCTTTCCACCATGGTTGAATTTTTGCTATATTTATTTATTAAAGCCAGCTGATAACCTTATGGAGTATTTGCAATCCAAATATTGATGCTGTTTTATAACAGAAATCTTTTGCTTACCACTTTTTAAAAAATGTATTGCTGCTACAAACATAATTATCATTCTTCTGATAAAAGTCCTATTACAATAATAATAATAATAAAAATAATAATTTTAAGTAAAGAAATATAAACTAGTTAGTATAGAAAGTCTCATGCATTTCCTGTAAGGGTCATTACATCACCAGTGCGCCAATTTATCTGTTCCATATTACAGACTATGATTCGTTTTGAGAGTAAGAAAGACTAATAAAAGTTTCAGACTTTTATCTTTGATAGTGTTTGAGATGTTCAAATGTTGCCTTATTAACTTATTTTACAGTGCTTGACAATGGAAAGGTGAAGCATTACAAGCTGAGAAAACTGGACAATGGTCACTACTATGTGTCAAGGGCCAAATCGTTTCAAACACTGAAGGAGTTAGTGGAACATTACTCCCGACAGTCTGATGGCCTCTGTGCACGTCTGGGTGAGCCATGCAAAAAGGTAAAAAACAAACTATGCTGCCACGCACGATGCATAATTTGTATTTATTTATCTAATTAATTAACTAATTTTAAATCTGTGACTCTTTCTGTCTGCAGATAGAAGTTCCACAGACTTATGGTCTGTCCTATAACACAGTGGACCAATGGGAAATCAATCGTAGCTCCATCAAACTACTGAAAAAGCTTGGAGCGGGACAGTTTGGTGAGGTCTTTGAAGGCATATGGAATGAAACTACATCAGTTGCCGTGAAGACTCTCAAACCAGGTACACAAAACGACAAATACTCAGACATTCTGACCTTGTCAGAATAGGGCTGCTCTTAAAAACTACAAAAAGAGTGATTCACATAAAGAAACTTAATCAGCCGATGAAATTGTCGTCAAATTATTAAACCAATAATAAGCTATTTATCATTAGCACCTGACTACTGCGTGCTTCTAGATACTAGAGCTAATAATGAAAATGGTGTTTACATTGATGGGACATATTATTATGACCTCCTTCCTAAAACTGTGTTGGGACCCTTTTGCTGTCAAAACAGCCCTGAGTGTTCATTCCTTAGCCAACTTTTGTTTTATGGCATATTAACCTAAAAGAGGCCACAGCCATCAGGGATTACCATTTCAATTAAAGGGTGGACATGCTCTCAAACAATGCTTAGGTAGTTGGTACATGTTAGTAGCACCCACATGCACGGCAGGACCCAAGGTTCTCCAGGAGAACATTGCCCAAAGCATCAAACTCTCTGCTGGATTGCCATTTTCCCACAGAGCATCCTGGTAAACGACCCACACACACCTGGCTATCCACATGATGTAAAGCAAAATGGGATTTATTAGACCAGGCTGCCTTCTTCCATTCCTCCATGGTCAAGTCCTGATGTTCATGCGCCCATTGTTGGTGCTTTCAGGAGTGTACAGGAGTCAGCTTGGAAACTCATTGTTCTGCAGCAATGCAGCGCTGTACACAGTAAACTGTGATACACTGTGCATTCGGACATCTTGAACCAGCATACATTTTTTTCAGCAATGTGAGCTACAGTAGCTCATGATCACATGAGCCAACCTTCGGTCCCACCATGCATCAGTAAGCTTTTCCGGCCCATGACCTTGGTCACTGGTTCACCACTCGTCTTTCTTTGGACCACTGTTGACTATGAACGCTCCAAAAGAGCTCCAAATTATCATTGCTCTGACCAAGCCATATAGAAATCATAATTTGGCTCTTGTCAAACTTGCTCAAATCCTTATGCTTGGCCATTTTTCTGCTTCGAACATATCAAATTTAAGGAAAGAAATTTCCTTTGCACCCACTAAAAGGTGCCATGGTGAAGAGATAATCGGTGTTATTCACTTCACTTGCCAGTGCTCATAAAGATATGCCTTTTGTGTTTTTATGTGACTGCTAATTGGTATATTTCCATCTATCTGTCCTTACTGATGGATTATGTTACCAAAGTATTCACTTATCCATCCAAATGATTAAATTCAAGTTTTACAGTGACTTCCATGGCCACAGCTGTATAAAATAAAACACCTGCCTATAAGTACTGCTTCTACAAGTTGGGTGGGCCGATATGATCTTCAACCGTATGAATTGAAAATGGGATATGACTCAAGTTCCTATGCATGAAAGCTTCTTAGAAGATTCCTTTGACATTCCAATTAGCAGTAGGTTTTTCTGGAAAGATGCCCACTTGCACCCATCTGAAAATAGCTTATAATAAATAAAGATAATATATTTAAAAGTAAAGTTAAATGTATGTCACAAACAAGTTGTATTTGTTGGCAGAGCAGTTAGCATTGCTGGGTTCAACAAAAATGACCATATTTCTAAGCTGCTTTGAGTGCCAGTATACAACCATGAAATCACTACACACCTCTGACAGGCACCATGGACGCAGAGGACTTCTTGAGAGAGGCTCAGATCATGAAGAGGCTGCGGCACCCCAAGCTGATTCAGCTGTATGCCGTTTGCACCTTGGAGGAGCCCATCTACATAATCACAGAGCTGATGACAAATGGCAGCCTGTTGGAGTACCTTCAAAGTAAGACAGCCACACTCTTTATTTTGCACCTGTGATTCTGAACAGCTTCTGCTTTATGACAGAACCACCGCTGCTGCTGCTGTTGTTCTTTAAAAAGTTATCACCAGTGAGAGGCCATGGTACCGAGATTTTAATCTTTTAGTAACAGATCAGATGCATTGTGTAAAGAATTTAGAACATACAAAAGAAATATATCACTGTCTTGGATTGTTAGACTTCACGTTTTAAAAAATATGGTTAAAGGAAGTAGGTGATGATAGCAGTCTTACTGAGGAGTGACTCATTCTGCTCTGCTGTAAATAGACAATTACAAGTTATCTACTGGCCTGTAATATATGACAGATTGACTCTGTGTTCTTTTGTTTTCATTGATTTAAAGCAGATTAGCAGGAGTCATCTAAGGTTCTAGGTTGGTTAGATCTTTGTAATTATTAGAATTTTTATGTATTTGTATTTGATAGTTTTGACTGAAGAGATCAGATGTTAACTGTAAAGAATATCTCCCATGAGATAAAGATAGCTGAGTGAGCGGTGAAATAGTTGTTGTCATGTTGGTTAATAGATTTAAATAGATTTACTGATTTGGTCTATTTGAGCTGCTGGACACGTGAGAGTAATCTGTGTCAAAAAGCACAGTCCTTAAGGCCATTACAGAATACATTTTGTGGTTAGTGGTTAATTCATCCAAAAAAATGATTGTGTGGGGAAAAAATTAATTCATCCATCCATCCATCCATCCATCTTCATCCGCTTTATCCGGGGCCGGGTCGCGGGGGCAGCAGCCTAAGCAAAGAGGCCCAGACCTCCCTCTCCCCAGCCACCTCCTCCAGCTTATCCGGGGGAACACCAAGGCGTTCCCAGGCCAGCCGAGAGATATAATCTCTCCAGCGTGTCCTGGGTCTGCCCCGGGGCCTCCTCCCGGTGGGACATGCCTGGAACACCTCACCCAGGAGGCGCCCAGGGGGCATCCTTGGCAGATGCCCGAACCACCTCAGCTGGCTCCTTTCGATGTGGAGCAGCAGCTGCTCTACTCTGAGCCCCTCCCGGATGGCCAAACTTCTCACCTTATCTCTAAGGGAGAGGCCAGCCACCCTTCGGAGGAAGCTCATTTCTCCCGCTTGTATCCGTGATCTCATTCTTTCGGTCACTACCCACAGCTCGTGGCCATAGGTGAGGGTAGGGACGTAGATCGACCGGTAAATTGAGAGCTTCGCTTTTACACTCAGCTCCCTCTTCACCACGACGGACCGGTGCAGCGTCCGCATTACTGCAGCTGCAGCCCCAATCCGTCTGTCGATCTCCGGCTCCCTTCTTCCATCACTCGCGAACAAGACCCCGAGATACTTGAACTCCTCCACTTGGGGCAGGAACTCATCCCCGACCCGAAGTGGGCACTCCACCCTTTTTCGGCTGAGAACCATGGCCTCAGATTTGGAGATGCTGATCCTCATTCCCGCTGCTTCACACTCGGCTGCGAACCGTTCCAGTGCGAGCTGGAGGCCCTCACCCGATGAAGCCAACAGAACCACATCATCTGCAAAAATCAGAGATGAGATTCTGAGGCCACCAAAGCGAAAGCCCTCCACCACTTGGCTGCGCCTAGAAATCCTGTCCATAAAAATTATGAACAGAACCGGAGACAAAGGGCAGCCCTGGCGGAGCCCATCACCCACCGGGAACGAGTCCGACTTATTGCCGGCAATGCGAACCAAGCTCTTGCACCGGTTGTATAGGGATCGAATGGCCCGTAGCAATGGGCCAGACACCCCATACTCCCGCAACACCTCCCACAGGACACCCCGAGGGACACGGTCGAATGCCTTCTCCAAGTCCACAAAACACATGTAGACTGGTTGGGCAAACTCCCATGCACCCTCAAGTATCCTGGAGAGGATAAAGAGCTGGTCCAGTGTTCCGCGACCAGGACGAAAACCGCATTGTTCCTCCTGTATCCGAGGTTCGACTAGCGGACGAACTCTCCTTTCCAGCACCCTGGCACCCAAAAATTAATTCAATTCAATTCAATTTATATAGCGCCAAATCACAACAAAAGTCGCCTCAAGGCGCTTCATAGATACAGAGGAAAAACCCAACAATCATATGACCCCCTATGAGCAAGCACTTTGGCAACAGTGGGAAGGAAAAACTCCCTTTTAACAGGAAGAAACCTCCGGCAGAACCAGGCTCAGGGAGGGGCGGCCATCTGCTGCGACCGGTTGGGGTGAGAGAAGGAAGACAGGATAAAAGACATACTGTGGAAGAGAGACAGAGGTTAATAACAGATATGATTCAATGCAGAGAGGTCTGGAAAGGAAAAACTCAATGCATCATGGGAATCCCCCGGCAGCCTATGTCTATTGCAGCATAACTAAGGGAGGATTCAGGGTCACCTGGTCCAGCCCTAACTATATGCTTTAGCAAAAAGGAAAGTTTTAAGCCTAATCTTGAAAGTAGAGGTAGTGTCTGTCTCCCGAATCCAAACTGGAAGCTGGTTCTACAGAAGAGGGGCCTGAAAACTGAAGGCTCTCCCTCCCATTCTACTTTTAAATACTCGTAGTACCATATCACCCTATTAGAGCACTTCGCTCTCGCTCTGCAGGCCTACTTGTTGTTCCTAAAAGTCATTAAGATAAAATGGGGCCTGATTATTTAAAACCTTGTATGTGAGGAGCAGGATTTTGAATTCAATTCTGGATTTAACAGGAAGCCAATGAAGGGAAGCCAAAACAGGAGAAATATGCTCTCTCTTTCTAGTCCCTGTCAGGACTCTTGCTGCAGCATTTTGGATTAGCTGAAGGCTTTTCAGTGAGTTTTTTGGACATCCTGATAATAATGAATTACAGTAGTCCAGCCTGGAAGTAATAAATGCATGAACTAGTTTTTCAGCGTCACTCTAAGACAGGATATTTCTAACTTTAGAGATGTTGCGCAAATGGAAGAACGCAGTCTTACATATTTGTTTAATATGTGCGTTGAAGGACATGTCCTGGTCAAAAATGACTCCAAGGTTCCTCACAGCGTTACTGGAGGCCAAGGTAATGCCATCCAGAGAAAGAATCTGGCTGGATACCATATTTCTAAACTTTTCAGGGCCGAGTACAATAACCTCAGTTTTATCTGAATTAAGAAGCAAAAAGTTAGCGGCCATCCAGGTCTTTATGTCTTTAAGACATTCCTGCAGTTTAACTAATTGGTGTGTGTTATCTGGCTTAAGAAGACATCAAGCCAAGATGAGCTAGTCCTGATGTTTCTAAACAAGTAAAGAAAGAAACTGATATTCTGGGTTCATCCAGTTCCCCAGCAGCAGGGAAGATTTCATGGTTATATCCAGAAGTTAAAGCTTTATCCAAAATGCTTTTGTATGCATCTATGCAGGGCAGTTTGAGCTCTTGTTGGCAGAGTTGGGGTCACATGTGAGGAGGCAGAGAAATGAAATCATAGAAATTACCACATAGACACAGTAGTCGGAACAAAGAATTTGTTACTGTCAAAGTGACAGACTTAAATAGATACATTCTTTGAGAAGCTAGCATTCTCTACTAACTATACTTGTTTCCTTACCGGCATGCTTCATTAAAAAAAAGAAAAAGTGTGTGTGTAAGATTGTGACCAGTAACTTGGCTTTCTCTTTGGATTACAGAGGATAAAGGTAGAACACTGCGTATCTCAGATCAAATTGAGATGGCTGCACAGGTGGCATCAGGCATGGCTTTTCTGGAGTTACAGAACTACATCCACAGAGACCTGGCAGCCAGAAATGTCCTAGTGGGCGAAAACAACATCTGCAAAGTGGCTGACTTTGGCCTGGCCAGGGTTTTCATGGTGAGTGTAAAACTGAAATTGGTATTCTACGCTTTCATGATGCCGTTCATTCCAGTCATACGTCCTTCAGAAAACCTGCATTCTTTACTAAATGTAATTGCTTGCTTTCAGGCATAACTTGTAAATACTCCTCAAACTAATCCACAGAATCTATTATACTACTGTCAGGATCACATCACATGTTTGTACTGCAGGAATAAACTGATGTGCTTTGATGATCACTTTTGGCTGGATCTTTGTGCCTTTTTTTGCTTGCAGAAAGAAAGCGAAAATGTGTACGAAGCCAAAGAAGGAACTAAATTCCCTGTGAAATGGACCGCTCCAGAGGCCATTCATGACAACAGGTTCACTATCAAATCTGATGTTTGGTCCTTTGGAATTTTGCTGTATGAGATTGTGACATTTGGCCAGATGCCGTACCCAGGTGAGATTTGATTTCTATCAAATACAAAGATCTAGCAAGAATTCCAGCTTGTAAGATTAGTACTGATGTGAGTCTGTGATTCTTTCAGCAATGACAAACTTTCAGGTGGTCCAGAAACTGGCTGAGGGCTTCAGGATGCAATGCCCCGCAAACTGCCCCAAAGTCTTGTATGACATTATGAAGGACTGCTGGAAGGAAAATGAACAGGACCGGCCTACATTTGAGACCCTGCAGTGGAAGCTGGAGGAATACTTTGAACAGGATGTGACGTCCTATGACGATGCCACTCGTTATTAGCACAACTGCCAGGCTGTGATATTAGAAAACAAACAAACAAAAAAAACTCTTAAGAAGTTGTGAATATACTGACTGGCTAATGTAATTTAAAAGGTCTAAATAGGAAAGCAGAATGGAGTTGGTGACAGCACTCATAGTCTTGTTTGAAATGAACGCACTCAATTGCATAACATGCGTGTCTAACCTAATTCCTACAGAGCGCTTAACTGGAAGACGCCTTTTTCAGCACAGCATTATGTTGCTCTCGACTAACTGGTTCGGCTTGCTCGAAGCATAGCAAACATTCTTTCCACTAACGACTTGTTGAGCCATTGCATGACAGGAGTAATGCGTCACGTTCACCTAGAAGCTCAATCTGCTGTCTTGGAGAGAATAGCAGGCACTGCAGTTTTATCACATTTATTGTTATTTTGGGGTTCTAGGACGACAACCAAAGTTGCGGTCACTAATAAGACAAATTAACCAAGCTATTTAACTACAAGCTTTTCTCTTTAGAAATTCTAACAGCTGCTACAAAATGGTGACAAATAAAAGGAAGATGGGCGTGGGGGTCCTGCAGATGTCCTGAGAGAAACCTGCTGCATACTCTGTTAAGTCATGTTTCCAAAATAACCACTACTAAAAGTTCTAAATGCAACTATTGTGCTGCATTTAACCATTTGCATAGTCGCACATAGTCATGATGGCTGTTATTCTGTTCACACTAAAAGCAAATAATGTAAATGGAAGCATAACATTAGCTACTTTAGTCTAGTTTGTTTTTTTTTCTCCCCACATAATATACTGTGAATTTTGATCAGCAGCTAGTTGTTGTAGTTGTTAAAGCTACATTTGTGAACAATCAGTTATTTGCATGCACTTTTTTTCTCCTTTAAGCACCTACAGTATCATCACAGTATCACCACACCTGTCTGCTTCACACTTCTGCTCATTCATTGTGCGACGGTTTGATGCTCTGTGACTGAAACATGTGATTTTTGATTCTGTTCACACTGCTCTCAGATCTGTGGGGTCTTTCATATTAATGGAAGCTGCGACAACAAAGTGACGGCACAAACATTCAAATTCTTGATGCATTTACTAAACCAGTTAAACTGGTGTTTTAGCTAATGTTGATTTTTTTTTTTCTTTTTCAGTGTCATGCACAAATTCTTGTTAATTGTACATTGTAATCTTGACAGTGTTTATATATAATCATATTGTATTTTAACTTAATTGTCCCTAAGCCTAATATAATTAAAAGAACCGTATTTAGTATGATTTGCCTGGATTTTTGAATTTTACACTGATAGGAAAATGAAAGTCTGACATCAGAGTAACTCATCTGACACATTAAACCTTTTTTCCCATGCTTTCGACGCATGGCAGTGATGGTCTTTGGAGTCTGAATGTGTAGTCCTTTGTCTTCTGTGTCATTGTGTGCTGTGTACTTTTATTGGTTGGGATTAGCTTTTTTCTTCAAACAGGTATAAGTTTCCATAACCTATAATAAATACTGTAGAACGGAGGCTTGATGCTTATACTATGAAAAGGAGTTTGGGCTAAACCAGGTAATGTAAGGGTTAACCCTCGGTTTTCAGCATTAGAAAGGTGGTTTGCCTCTCAGCAGGATCCATTGCCATATGGCATTCAACCCTAGTTTTCTGTACTATGAAGATCCTTTACTTCAGGTGTAATTTAATGAAACAGTGGATTATAAACCAGCAGGAACTCCTATGCCCTAATGTAAGGGTTATGTTGAAAAGCCTGTTAACTTATGCAGCTTTTTGTTAGTTCTACTTCCTGCATTCCAATAGGATGAACTAGGTGATGGAACTTCAAATGCACAAACACCAGTGGTTTTAACATTACTTAAATAACTTGCATAACCACACAGTGTCTTTTCTGTTATGTTCACGCTGCTGTTCTAGATAGGAAGATTTGTTTAAAATAAATCACTTTGTTGCCTGGAGTTTTGTAATTGGTGACATTCTACCAACACCACCCCTTTTATGTGAAAAGGCTGGTTGCTAGAGTATTAAACTGTGGATTAACATGATCAGCCCTTCTGACATTAGGGTGAATGATAATAAGCTATCTTTTGTATGTGAAACTTTGTGGTTCAGAGCTCTGCTGTAAGGTTAGTCTCGGGCTGCACTTAATAACAGGACAGAATGGGTCAACACATTGCAGGTTCTCATTGTGTGGACATTTTATATAACAGGAAGCGCCATTGTTCACGCTGTCTGTTGTCAGTATATATTGTATTTTATTCATATGCATACTGCCTACCAACTTTTTTACCTTTCGAAAAAAGTTGCAACTTACCTGGAATTCCTTGTCCCATAGATCAATTTGTAAAAACTATTATAGAATAGAGTTGTTAAACAGGTCTCTGTTCAGGGTGCCTCTCACCCTATGACATTTAGGACATTAACTCTGTAAACCCTGTGGTATGGTGATGCAGTGATTAGCACTGTTACCCCACAGCAAGAAGGTCCTGGGCTCAAATCTAGAGTTGGGGTCTTTCTGTGACAAGTTGTTGTGTTCTACCTGTGTCCAAGACATCCATGGGGCTCCAGCACCCCCTCAACAACCCTGAATTGGCTACGTGGAAGGAGATGGATAGACTCTCTACACCATCTCATGGTACAAAATGGTATTGCACACCGGCTATAGTTCAATTTCAGTAAATAAACTAATGTATATGAACAAATCTGAATACTGTCAAAAAGTTCATATTTTAAACGATTTAATTAAAAAATGTAAACTAATATTCTGTTTTCATTATGTATGCAAGTACAAACTGTATAAATACCATGTATCTTAGTCTAATTCAGTACACATAAATGCTGTCATGGGAAAGACTGATGACTTGGCTTGGGATCAAAGTCCTAGAATCTGGAGGAAGAGTTGAGAAGGACAGAAACCAAGGTGTTTGAAGTGCAGTGTTTAGTTCCTGCAGTCTCTGATGATTTGGGTGCCATGTTGCATTCTGAAGTTGGTTGGTCCAAAGTCAATGCAACTGTCTACTTGGAGATTTTCAAGTAGACACTTCATGTTTCCATTTGGTGATCAACTTTATAAAAATCCAGGTTTCCTTTTTTAGTAGGACTCAGCACCTACCAGGGCTACTACCAAATCATCACATTACTGTTCTTGATTGGCTAACTGACTCCCCTGACCTGAATCCTGCAAAAAACATGTGAAGTATTGTCAAGGGGAAGATGAGAAACACCTGAGCCAAAAACACAGATGAGCAGAACGCTACTATTTAAGCCACCTAAGCTTCAGAAAAACCTCAGTAGTGCGATAAGTTGATTGCATCCATGTTGCAGTACAATGAGCTCTTCTGTTTACTCTGTTTTTTTTAATTGATGTTTTTTTTAAGTTACTGCTGCCATCCTATCACGTAGAAGCAATCTCATCATTCTCATCTGAATTCTGGCACCAACAAGGATGTCACATTCAGTGTCTGTTAAATCACTGTTCTTTGCCATTCTGTTGATCAGTTTGAGCTTCAGCACGTCATCTTCATTTAGTCTACGTGCCTAAATGTACTGATTTCTGCTATAAAATTAGGGGAAAGGCAAAGAAAACATTATGATTAAGGCTTGAGCAAGCCTCCAGCAAATAAAAAAGGTGAATTCAACGTCCTGTTAATTGATACAAACATGATTGTGTGAGAGAGAAAGACTATATGGGTTCATGGGTTTTTTGGCAACTTGCACCAACCATGACTAAATTGTTTGATGTAACTTCCCAATGTGACCACATGGCGGTGCTGCCGGTCCGTTTGCACCCCTGCCTCATAGCCTGCTGATATCTTCCAGCAGTTTTTAAATGCAGTTATCTAAAGTCTGACTCATCTTCATCATTGGAAATGGGTTTTTTTTGTTTTTTTTTATCTAACAGAGAGAAGTAAGTGCACACTTAAGTCAAAGTTTATGTTGAACATCAGGGTTGGTTGATAATTTTCAGCTCTGTCATTCACTGAGGCCACAACATATCCATGGTTTTAAACTGTGTTCCTAAACCCAGGTACACACTGTACCATTCTGGCCTTCCACAGATGACAGATGACCAATGTGACAGGATCATGGTGGTGTTTTTGGTTGTGGCTTCAAATCACTGGTTTTATGTTGTACAGCTAAAAAGGTTCAAAGCTGTCTGTTACAGGTGTATTAAGAGCAAATATAGGACTGATGGGCCTGGGGCAAATGTCACTTATAGCATTTATTTAAAAAAAAGGAATCAACTGTGATGGAAGTACTAGTACGCAACACAAAATCGCAGAGGAAAGTTTAGTTGAAATGTGGCAGACTGCATAATTCTAGGCGTATTACACATAGTAGAATCAAGTAGTACAAGTTATACCACATGAAGCGCCCGCGTCGGTGCAGACTATAATAACTATGCTTAATAGCATAACGTGTTACTAAGGTATTGAAGGAAAAGGTCAGATGCGTGTTTTGGTTTGGTGTTGTTTTGGCATTTGTGTTTATGTGGACCTAGTGTAGTGTTTGTACTGTTTATGGGTTTATGTATTTAAAGCAAGACTACATTGAAAAAATGTTCATCTGAATCATCGTTGTAGTTGGGACTGAAATTTCAATGCTGAATAAGTGATCAGCTTAAAAATACTTTATGGTGGTGGTGGTAACTTTATTGTCCCTAACGGGAAATTTATTTGCAGTATGTCCATACAAACAAACAAACAGACAACCAACACATCACATATACACACAAATACTGATGAAACGTGACTGTGTAAGGACAATGACACTGGGATAAATCGCAACTTCCCTCAATAATCAAACCCTTCAGGTTTTGATTATTGAAATTTCTAAAATGTCATTAGTGGCTTAGACCATAACGTTAGGTTAGGTAAGAAAACAACAGGGACATAAGTTAAGCACAGAATCACAGATCTGAATATTGTATGGCCTTTTTTGTTTCTTTTATATTTGTTTTATTCACTTGTTGATTTTGTAGATGGTCAGACTCAGCAAATGGGTTACTTGGAAGTCTTAGCTGCTGTTTTAACAATTCTCAGATGGTCACCTGGTTGCCTTATGCTGACATGGCTAGGGTTTTGTTTGGTCAACACTATTCTCACACTGTAATCTGGTGTTTTTATAGGGTCAGCTCCATCTGATAGCTGCTTGTTTATACAGGAGAAACAGTTTTATGTGGGCATTTGTCTTGGTCGATCTTACACAAATTTACCAGAAGGGGGAGCTAAAAGATCTGTTTGTACCAATGATAGCGTTAAAGATGAGTGTTTTCTAAAATCATTGGTTTTTACTGTGGGTGCAGTCAGGACCCCTTAGAGTTTACCTTGCAAAATGACTAAAATGACCTTTGTAATAATTCATTTATTTACTCAATGTAAATAAAGCACAGACTTTGTGGACAGTTTAATTTGAATCTTGATTCATTTAAAAGCCTAGTCGCTACAATAATCACATAAATATGTTTGGAATATTTTTTCCCTTTCTACCTTTGACAAAGTAGTGCAAAAAACAACAACAACTGCATTATATAAATAAACATTAAACTGTATATATATTGTACTGTAGTAAACACACAGTCTGTCTATACCCCTGCTATAGACTGGTTTTTAATTCCTTTTGTTGGTTTCATTAGTGCAGTTTCTTTTTCAAATGAAAGTGTGTTAACGTCAATTTTGAACCAAATGATAAAGACTTAAAAAGGAATTAAAAGGCTTTGAACAGTATGTGACATGTTGATTTTCCATTAAATGTCAATATCTACAGTGGGATTACAAATATTAAAGAAAAATTATGGATAAAAGAGCTGACTAAACAAATTTACTACATCTGGATGTACTTAAGTAAAGACTGTAGGCCATCCCTGCCGACCCCTCCCTGAGCCTGGTTCTGCCGCAGGTTCTGCCTGTTAAAAGGGAGTTTTTCCTTCCCACTGTCGCCAAAGTGCTTGCGGGTTATGTGATTATTGGGTTTTTCTCTGTATGTATTATTGTAAGGTCTACCTTACAATGTAACAGTTGCCTTGTGGCAGGCTTGTGAGAGGGGCAGGGCTCCGGGGGAAATCCAGGTGAACACTCTCGTCTCTCTCCAAACAATCCAAACACGAATCCACTCGAACACTCATCACTCAGGGAACACCAGGGAAAACAGTTCAGGTCTGCACACAAAGAAACGCTCGTTAGATTCCAAACACACAACTACATGGAAAAACACTTGCTAGACGCTTGACTTTCTCTGACGCGATTCTTACAATGATCCAGCGAAGAACAGCCGTTGCTTCCTGGCTTACCGGTAAATGCCATCCACTGATGAGGCACAGGTGTTTCCTCCTCCGAGGGCGTGGGCCAAGGGCGTGAACCCATAATGAGTTCCGCCCTGGCGA